GGCGCGCGCCGAGGGCCCCACGCAGCACCCCTTGCTGCGCATCGGCAGCATCACCCTGCTGCAGCCGCCCGCCGGCCAGCTCCTGCAGGAGCACCGCCTGGACGGCAACGTCTTCATCCGCCTGCCCGACAAGCCCCTCAAGCCCGGGGAAGTGCTCAGCATCTTCCTCTACCTCATGGCCAACTCCACGGTGGAGCACTTCACGCTCAGGTGAGGCCCTGCTGGAGCTGGTGGCTTGGGGATGTTGGGGTCTTCCTGACCTGCTGTATCCCATCTCCACCCCTAAAGCAGCCTCATGTTGGGGCGACGGTTGCGTTGGCCCGTTCCAACGGTTGGCTTGTTCCCATGGTTGGCATCTCCTTGGGATGCAAGGAAGGGGTGATGTGTTGTGCCTTAGAGCTCAGGCTGTGAGGGCTGCTTATTGCCAATCACACACAGAAGACCCAGGCCACTGTGGCCCGCTCCTGACCGCTGCTCTCCACAGGGTGAAGGCCAAGAAGGGTGTCAACCTGCTCACCACCAAGTCGAGGAGCCTGCAGTGGCTGGTGACCTCAGAGCTGCTCACGGGCGGCAAGCACTCCACGGCCACCGTGGATGTGTCCCGCGTGGACGGCGCTGGGCCCAGGTAAGGCCTCATGAGGATGGATTCTCCATGTTGGTGGTCCTGAGCCCTGGAGGGGATTTTTGGTCTGGCAGTGGAATTTGAGACCTCTAGGCAGTCTGGTGGTCTCCTTTGCCCTTATCATGGCAGGGGATGCTGTTTTCAGCAACGTTGGGGTCAAACCTTTTATTTTGGCTAATGTGGATGTTTTTAAGCTGGAAAGCAGCTTCTGGTCTGTGCTTAGGTGGGAGTGCTCAGATATACCATGCCCCAAGTCTTTTTGCTTGGAGGCCAGTGGTGCAGGGATGCAGATGGCTGCACCTGGGTACCAAGGGGCCTCTACAAGCCACAGCTTGTGGCACCACCATGGTTGACCAGCTCACAGTCTGCTCCACTGCACATATGACCATGCTCTGGGAGCCCAAGATAGGTTCCAGCCTTCCTGGGAGACCACAGAGCATCTCCAAAAAGGATTCTCCAGGCTGCATCGTGTGCAGGGAAGCCCCAGCCTCTTGGCATGAGGACTTAAACAGGGTGCTGGGCACCGCAGTGGTGACATCTCTGCAGATGCACCTGGTCCATGAGTGGGTGCTGTGTGGCCGTGTCGGGTGCCCGTGGGCACCTCCTGTGGATTTGAGGGGGAACCACAAAGCCACAGGCCACCTGATCTGGGTCCTCTGACCACACTTGGGTCAGCTGAGGAGGGATCAGAGGATGGAAATGAGAATGATCTAAGGCAAAGGAGACCCACAAAGACAGGTGAAAAGCACAGAGATTGATTGTCCTTGGGAAGTGGAGGATGAGGAGAGGATGAGGAAGCAGAAGGCAGCTGTACAGGAGAGGGCAGCTCCATGCATCCATGGAGATGGGATCCAGTGAGCAAAGAGGATGTGGGTGCATCATGGGGTCACACTGTGAGCAGGATTTCTCTGACACGCTGGAAGAAATGATTCCCGGGCTGTGGCATCTCCATTGCTAGACGTGTTTGGGACTGTGGAGACGAACATCTCCAGGAGCTGGGTCGAGGCGAGTTGCTCCTGCCCGCTGCGACACGGAGCTGGCAGCCTCTGTGGCTCTCGTGTTGCTGCAGGAGGTGAGGGCTGGCTCGGGGAGGAGGAGGCACCTGCCTTCCTCCCAGCTCCTTCCCTTTCCCCCTCTCCGTGTCTGCGGCAGATTAAAATCAGCCTTGAAAGGTTAGAGACGGCAGATGAATTTAAAGTGATTACAATCACCTCTTAGACAAACAACTCAATCAAATATTAACGTCATGCAAAGTATGAATGACTCAAACCCGTGTTGCCCTCCAGGCCTTGCGGCAATGAGGAATTTGCCTCCCTGTGGCCCTTGGGGCTTCTGGCAGTGCTGGTTGCGTTCGAAGATGATGTTCCCATCATATCCTTGCAGCCCTGGGCCATTCCAGCTGGAGGAGGGCATGCTGGAAGCTGTTTCAGTGTCCATAGCAGGGCTGCCGTGACTGCAACCCTGTATGGACTTGCAGCATCCCATGGCGAGGCATCTTGGGGTCAAACTGGGCTTCACCCTCAAATCTGGCTCTTCCTGGCTGCTTTTCATGTTCTTCCTTTGAAAGAGCAACCCGAGCCCCTTCTGCAAGCGGCGTGGGCTTGGAGGTTCCCCTGGTACCCCCTTCGCTGTCCCCTCTGCAGGACAGTGCAGTGAGCTGGGTCCTTGCCCTCGTGGCAGCCGTGATCAATGCTTGCCGTGCCCTGGAGCAGGCACTGAGTTGTTGCTCTCTCTCTCTTTTTTTTCTCCTCCCTTTCACTCATTACCCATTTATAAGGGATAAACTTACTATATCCAGCATCCCTGGATTGATGGGGCTTTCTGGATGGCTGTTATGTCATGAGACAAGAGCAGGCTCCCATTCCTCTTTCCCGACCCTGGCAGAACTAATCTTTTCCTCGCCTTCCTCCATCTCCCTGTTCCAGGAAGCCTTTTGCTGCCTCTGCTGAGGATTAAGCTTCACTTGTGGCCCAGAGGAGGTTCAGTGTTTGGGGACGGTGCTCACACTGTCTCTCTGTGTGGGGAGAAACCTCAGAGGGTTCAGCCAAAGAAACAGGGATTTTGGGGGCTCCCAGACTGGACAAGCATCTTGCCAGCAGCCCCTGGAAGTTATCTGGGGCAGGGGATTAGCTTGTGCCCTGCAGTGGGGATATGGCATTGGGAAGCTGGGATCCAAGCAGGGTCCTGGGTGCTGGCTGCCCTCCCTCCGTCTGGGAGGGTTTGACTTGCGGGAGATGGACAAAGGAGCAGTCCCGGGGCGGTAAATCCAGCCCCGCTGCCGGGAAGATGCTGACCGGGAGACAAGGACAGCACCCGGCTGGCCCTGCAGCCAGGACCATCCCCTGAGGCCGCTAACAACTAACAGCGTTGGTCACGTCCAACGCGTGATGCTAATAAATCACCGAGCAGCCTTTGCAAAGAGCAGGCTTTCGCTGGCCAGATATTTCTTCTGTTGGGGACAGGCACAAAAAACGTAGCAGGGTTTTCCTTCCCCTTTTCCACTTCTGCTTTCCACTGGAGTGGTTCCCAGCTTTGCGTGAGTGGGAGCAATGATCGGTGGCAGATGTGCTGTCCCTCTGTCCTGGGTTTGGGTCTGGGGGCTGTGCCATTCCCGGGGTGCTGAGGACGTGCTGGCATTGCACTGGTGGAGGCAGCACGTGCCCTGGTGCTTCTTGCTGCCTGAAACGGGCAGCTCGGACCTGCCGGAGATGCTCCGCATCGCTAGACGGCACTGTCTGTGTGTCCTGCAGGCTGGCTCTGGTCCCGGGGCGCCTGCAGGACCTGCCCCAGCAGGCGCCCAGCTGAGAGCGTCCCCCTCCTGTCCCCCTTGCCCAGGGATGGGGACTCCTCTGCTGAGATAATGCAGCTGGACTTCGAGATGGAGAACTTCACCAGCCAGTCGGTGACGCGCCGCATCATGTGGCACATTGACTACCGGGGCCGCAACCCGCCACCCGACCTGGAGAAGGTGGTGACAGAGCTGACCGTCATCCAGAGGGACATCCGGGCCATCGTACCCCTGGCCATGGTGAGTGGATGGGGGGCCCTGCATGCTCCCCTCCTGCTGGATGCATCACCCAAGCTTTGTGAGATCTCCAATATCCTGCATGCTCCTTCTCAGCCCTTCACCATTCCCTGCTTGGAAGCAGCTACCAGTTTTGCTTTTTTTCCATGATGTTCATGGAGGCCAACCCACCCCCTGTTTGGCAATACGTCTCTGTATGATCTCCACAACCCATGGGAACCTTGTGTGCCTGCAAGGCATGGATGGGAGATGGGCTGGCTGAGAGGTGCCTCCTCGGGGAGGTAGGCTGCCCATTTGACCGGCTTTCTGCATCCTCCCCAGGACACAGAAATCATCAACACAGCCATCCTGACAGGCCGGACGGTGGCCATTCCCGTGAAGGTCATTGCGATTGAGCTGAGTGGGGTCATCGTGGATGTCTCAGCTATGGTCGAGTGCAAGTCCAACAACGAAGACATCATCAAGGTGAGTGTGTGAAGGGGGCCAGGACTGGGCTCTCGTTGGTGCTAGCAAAGGATCCCATCGCCCTGGCGTGACGCCCCCTCTTGCACCCCAAGGGCAGGTTCGAGCTGAGTGCTGGCCTCTCCTTCCATCCACTTTTGCCTTTGCAAGGGCAAAGCAGGGAGGAAGAACAGACACCCTGTCACTATCCCCCGAGAGGCTGAGGGATGCTCCGGCACTGAGCGTGCTGCTGGTGGCCAGTGGCAATAACTGTGTGTTATCAAGGCCTTTATTACTGATAAGGCAAAATATTGGTGCCTTGCAGGGCAAAGGGCACGTTCTCGTTAGCTGCTTTCCTTGTGCCTCGGGGTGTCATTTATTTCCCATTAGGGCTGGACCCCAGGCTCGGCTCTGGCTGGCCGAGGGCCCTGGCTCTGCAGCTCTCCCCAGGCACTCGGGGAGCAGGTGCTGGACACAGGGCCCTGATGCCACTGGCGAGGGGCAGGGCTGGTGCTGTGGGGATGGGACCAGGGTCGACAGGGGCTGCGTGATCGGGGAGGCTGTGAGGCCAGGGGACGCAAAGGGGCTGGGGAGAGGAGCTCCTCTCCTGGGGAGAGGATGGCAAGTGCTGGATGAACATGAAGGTGTCTCCACAGGGAACAGATGTCCAGTCATCCATCTTAGGTGAGGACCATCAGTCCTGACATTCATCCATATATATTCTTCTATCACCATTTGTATGTATATATCCGTACACCTCTATTACTTTATCGCCTTATCCACCCATCCCCCAAAATTCTTCCCTGATTTCTACCATACCCATTCCCCTGTTCTAATATCCATCCAGTCCATGACTGACTAGTCATTTCTTCATCTCCACATTCATCCCTTTTGGTTCTCTCCTCTCCTTTCCCCCTGTGTTGGAAGCAGGGAGGTAAAGCGTGAAAGAGGAGGGTCTCCTTGTGTCCTTCAGACCCCTGTCCTATCTGCCGTGGGTGCCCTCTGAGATACCCAGGTCCGTCCTCCTGCCCCTGCCCACGCCCAGCACTTAGGACTTCTTTCTTCTGTGTGTGTGGAGAGCCCTGCGCTGGTTTGTAGGGACCTGGGGGGCCCATGGGAACCCGTCAGACCCAACCCCAGACCTTAGCCTGGATCCCACCCCCGACCTACCCTGTATCCAGCACCAGAGCTTACCCTGGCCCCAATGCCTGATCCCACCCCGGACCTTATCCCAGACCCAACCTGAGATCCAACACGGACCCTACCCTCAACCCCACCCCAAACTTATCCTGGACCCCACCCTGGACTTAACCCCAGACCTACCTGAG